CTTCAACCCCTCACACTACAAATAGATCTTTCACACAAAAGGTGAATTTTGATTCAAGAAAGAATATGTCTTCTGTTTCTTGCAAGTATTGCAAGAAACCTGGTCACACTGTGCTACAGGCTACATGGGTTCCCTGCAGAATTCAAATTCACCAAGAACAAGAAGTCAGCCTCTTGTGTTCAAAGTGACATTTCCCATGGTTTACCAAGTATTTCTGCCTCCTAGCTTTCTGACAACTCTCCTCATGGGTTCACAAAAGAACAATATCAACATCCGATGTCCTTATTTCAACAAGTTCAAGTATCTCCTGGTCCTAATTATGAAGCTTTTTCTGCTGAAAATTCTGGATTTACCCATTTTGCAGGTTTGTTTACTGCTTATACTGTTAATTCTGACAATTCTCATATATGTGCAACTTCTCAGTTAGGCATAAACCCTTGTATATTAGACTCAGGGGCAACTAACCACATGACTTCACACAAACACTTACTTCACAATCTTGTTCCCTTACCTAAACCTTTTTTAGTTACTTTACCTAATGGATATAAAGTTAAGGTAGTGTCCACTGGTTCTCTCCACCTTAGACATGACATGATCTTACTTAATGTCCTTCTTGTACCATCTTTCCATTTCAATTTGATTTCTATACATCAACTGATTTCTCAATTGGATTGTATAGCTATCCTTACCAAGTTCAACTTTTCTTTACAGGGTCCTTCTTTGAAGAGGCCACTGGTAATTGGTAAGGATGCTGGAAGGTTGTACTACCTTCATCCTGATGCTGATTTGTTTCCTGCTTCAAACCCTTTTTCTTTTTCCAGTTCTGTGTCATGTAATAAGTCTGACTCCACTATTTCTTCTGTAAATACTTTTCCATGTAATCAGACACCCAATGTAAATAAAATGGATCTTTTTTGGCATCAAAGGTTGGGGCATATGCCTTTTCATAGAATGAAGTCTATTTCTTTTATATCTGATAAAATTTCTTCTACACAATCTTTTATTTGCTCAGTATGTCCAATGGTAAGACAACAGAGATTACCCTTCCCTGATGGCCAGATTCACTCTACTGCCCCATTTCAATTGGTACACATTGATATTTGGGGGCCTTACAACTCTAAAACTTACAATGGTTTCAAATATTTCCTAACTTTAGTTGATGATTTCAGTAGAGCCACCTGGACTAACCTATTATCATGTAAAAGCAATGCCCTCTCTGTCTTCAAAGCTTTTACTTCTATGGTTAAAGTCTATTTTCATTCCTCTATTCAAACCTTCAGATCTGATAATGCTTATGAACTTGGCAGCACCCATGAACCTACTTCTTTCTTTGCTGACCAAGGAATTCTGTATCAAACCACCATTCCTCACACTCCCCAACAAAATGGAGTTGTGGAAAGGAAACATAAACATCTCCTAGAAGTATCTAGGGCTCTTCTCTTTCAGTCCAACCTACCCATCAAGTATTGGGGAGACTATGTCTTGACTGCCACATACCTCATAAATAGAATGCTTTTAGCTACTTTGAATAATGTTTCTCCCTTTGAAAATCTGCATGGTCACCAACCTCCTTATGCTCATTTAAGGTCTTTTGGTTGTTTGTGTTTTACCAATTCTCCCAGGTTTGGCAGGGACAAGTTCCAATCTAGGGCCATTCCTAGCCTTTTCCTAGGTTATCCTTGTGGCAAAAAGAGCTACAAGCTTCTTAACCTCTCCACTTCTTCTATTTTTCACTCTAGGGATGTTGTGTTCCATGAACATATCTTTCCTTTTCACTCTTCCAACCATTCTATTTCTCCTCCTCCTACACCTTTTGTGGATGTTCCTTCACCACCCTCTTCTACAAATCTTCCCACTTCTCCTCTTGTTTCTTCTTTTCCTTCACCACCCTCCTCTACAAATCTTCCCATTTCTCCTTCTGCCACCCTTTCTACACCTGTCCAGGCTGTCAGAAAATCCACTAGGACTGTCACTCAACCTACTTACCTCAAAGACTACATTTGTTCTTCTGTCCTACCCAATGTTCCTGCCCCTAAGTTGTCCCAATCTGAGTTGCATATGCATGAACCTCAATTTTACAGCAGGCAACTTCACATCCTGCTTGGCAGGAGGCCATACTAAAGGAATTTTAAGCTCTTGAGTCCAACCTGACTTGGGATATTGTTCCTCTTCCCCCACACAAGAAGGTCATTCCTTGTAAGTGGGTTTATAAAATTAAACAGAGGGCAGATGGTTCCATTGAAAGATACAAGGCCAGGTTGGTTATCAGGAGTGACACTCAAAAAAAGGGTATTGATTTCACTGAAACCTTCTCCCCTATTGTTAAATTGACCACCATCAAGTGTCTTCTTACTCTGGCTGTTAAGAGGGGTTGGACTGTCTATCAGTTAGATGTCAATAATGTTTTTCTGCATGGTGACCTTCATGAAGAGGTTTATATGAAGATTCCTCCTGGTTTGGATGTCTTTTCTACTTCTGCTTCTCCTCCATTGGCTTGTAGACTCAAGAAATCTTTGTATGGCCTCAGGCAGGCCTCCAGACAGTGGTTTTCTAAACTGTCTGAAGCTCTACACTCTAGGGGCTACATTTCTAGTCTTAATGACTATTCATTATTCACCAAGTCCTCTTCTGGTTCTCTTGGCTACAAGAAGTCTTAATGTCTTGGCTGTCTATGTTGATGACATTCTCTTGGCTGGGGATGATACTACTGAATTGGATTCCTTGAAGTCATTTTTGGATTCTCAGTTTAAAATCAAGGATTTGGGCACAGTTCATTATTTCCTTGGTCTGGAGATTTCTTCTACTCCTCAGGATTACCTTATGTCTTAGTCCAAGTACACATCTAATCTCCTAGCTGAGTTCAACTGCCAGCATTTCTCTCCTGTATCTACACCTCTGGATCCTTCCTGCAAGCTGCTTTTGGATATGGGAGCACCTATTTCTGATACTAGTCTGTACAGGAGGCTCATTGGGAAGTTGAATTTCCTACAACATACCAGACCTGACATCTCCTTCTCTGTTCAACATCTCAGCCAATTTCTTCATCATCCTCAGGTTCCACATATGTTGGCTGCACTTCATGTTTTAAGGTATCTCATGAATGATCCTGCCCAGGGGATCTTACTCTCCAACTCTCCAGATATGTCTCTTATGGGATTTTCTGATTCTGATTGGGGTTCTTGCTCTAATTCTCGCAAGTCTGTCAGTGGCTATTATGTCACACTTGGTGGTAGTCCTATCTCTTGGAAGAGCAAGAAACAACCTACTATTTCCTTGTCCTCAGCAGAGGCTGAGTATATAACTCTAAGGAAGGTTGCTGTTGAAATGCTTGGTTGATTAGATTGCTGGGTGACCTTGGACTGCCTATTACTGCTCCAGTTCCTGCATATTGTGATAGTCAGGCTGCCCTACACATTGCTAATAATCCAGTTTTCCACGAACGCACAAAGCATATTGAGATTGATTGCCACTATGTGCGTGAATGTTTACATGTTGGTCTTCTCTCTTTGCATTTTGTTTTCAGTTCTGCTCAATTGGCTGATATCATGACCAAGGCTTTGTCTCCTCAGCTTCATTATGGCATTCTTGGCAAGGTTGGTATTTTCTCACCCTCAAGCTTGAAGGGGGGGGGGGGGGGGGGGGGTGTTAGAGCCCAATCTGGTAGCACTTCTACACAACAGGCCCAATAGTTAATTGTATAGGACCCGGGCCCAATTGACATTCCATTACATTTTATAGTTGTAAATATATGTACTCATAATTGAATAATAGAGATCAGATGGTTTATTTTCTGTTTACATATTTCTCTGTCTCTCTCTTTTCTTCTCGACCCTTCTAGGGTTTTCTCATTTTTTCATCCTCCATAGCTCATCTGAGCTTCAATCTAACACCCCCCTATGGTAGTTGGGTTTATAGTAAAAAGTTGGAATTGAAAGACTTGGTAGCAAGTTTTGGTTATGAAGTGAAAAAGATGCTTAGTGTGAGCATTTCCTTTTTTTTTTCTTGCTTATTTGCATTGGTGCGCATAAGTTTCATTCACATTTTTTTCTTTCTCTTTTAAATATGTACTCAACAAATTATGTTTAATTTGATTAAAACGAATACAAAAGAATAAGGGCCACATGCCATTTTCCATAGGTGAGGTTTGACACAACTTTAAAACTTTTCCCATTATTTGCAGTTTTGAAGTCCCGTTTAGTTACTCCACTTGGATTGAAATTTGAAAATTGTGAATGCATAGATAACTAAGTATAAATACATTATTTCAATTTAAAAGTTAAAAGAGAAAACTAATATTCGCTCTATTTTCTTTTTAGTTTATTTTAAAAACTATGACTCATTTATTTATTTGAAGATAATTTATATCAATTAAAGTACTTTTTCTTTCTTTCACGTATGCTATAAAGAACTAAATTAGTACTAGTTTACTACCACGCTGCTAACTAAATCCTGGTATATGTATAGTGTATTTTATGCTCTATGCTTGAAACTTTTTAAATTGGATCTTCGATGTTAAGAAAAAAGAAAATCTATCCTTAACAAATATGCTATTTTTGTTTTTAGTTATCGAAAATGCAATACATTTGAGTTAATGATGCAGATACCCAAACTAATATTAAGAGTAGAAATAATTTTATACCTTTCTTCTAACCAAAGTAAATCCTAGTATAAATTAGCAGATCCAAAAATAGTCCTGGAACGGACCAATTGGTTGGAAGACTCCTCCATATAAGTTTTAATTATGTTTTTATATATATAATCTTTCATGCATATTTAATCTATTTTTATACTTATATCTTAAATATATGGTAATTAAAAGTTGGTAATTCTTTTGCACTTTTCAATCTTTGGAAACGCTCAATGAAAAAGTTAAGAGAACCTTTTGTAATTTTGTAAACCTGAAGGAGTGTTTCGTTTTCAATTATTAAAAACTTAGGGGTAGTTATAAAAATATCATAAAAAGCCACGCAGTTCCCTTTCGTGTGTGATTCTTCCTCGTAAAGAGATGTAATTAACGTTCGTTCCATATATATTTTCGTCGCCGAATTAAGCTAAAGGCAGATCAGATAAGAATGGCGGCTTACACAGTGGTAATGGAAAACCTAAAGGAAAGAGCAGAATTCATGAAAGAATCAATGCACAAGAGCCAAACCATTACCGATAATATGATCTCCATTCTCGGCTCCTTTGATCACCGCCTCTCCGCCCTCGAAACCGCCATGCGTCCCACTCAGGTAAATATGTGTGTTTGTGTGTGTGTGTAGATTAATGATTTTTGCATTACATAATGAATGTTTGTGCTTCATCTGCATGTGATGTTTGATATGTTACATATACATGTGTGATTGATTATATATTTATTGAATGGTCAATTTTTTTGTTTTTGTTTTCTAAATTTTTGTTGATGGGAAAAGATAAGGACGCATTCGATTCGGAAAGCACACGAGAACATTGACAAGACATTGAAGGTTGCTGAGTCCATATTGGCTCAATTTGATCTTGCGCGCCAGGTTCGTCATTTTGGATTAATTTTATTTATTTTTTCTGTCACTTTGCTTTTGTATGCTAGTGTATAATTTGCTTTGCATTTTGCTTCTTGCACTATGAATACTCATAGTATATATACATACACTTGAATTTAAAAATGTGACAGCAAAGTTGCAATTCAAGTGAAAGAGTAAGCAAGAAAATGTAAGTCTTCTTTTACTATAAAGACTGAATTTTTGGCATTACCCTATTGGTTGATTACTTCATCTAGGCCTTCCATCCCTATGCTCAAAATGATTTTATTTGGATTGCCTATGAAATACACTATGTTTATTGGTTGATGCGGGTCAATATATAAATTCAAGTAAATGAGTAAGCAAACAATTATATAGACAGCTATTTGACGTTATAGTGTGATCGAATTGGTTCTCATTTTATTGGGATTACATATGAAATAAGGTGCGTTTATTGGTTGATTCCCTTGGTAATATGAGGATTTGTTCTTCTGTTTTAATTAATCATTGAAAAGTCAGCCTAATCCTGTTGAAAATGGCAAACTCCCACATCGGTGGGAGACTTAATTTGGGAAGAATTTCTCCCTATAAAAGAAGGCCTAATGTTTATGATTTAAACACACCTCTCATTTGCCTTCTTATCTTCTTAAGGCATTTGTATCTTCTCTCTTTAGTATTATTTCACTTGTATTTTTGGAGTGGAATAAAATATTGGTTGTGTCCGAGGAAGTAGGCAAAATTGGCCGAACCTCGTAAATTCTGGTGTTCCTTTTATTGTTGCTTTATTGTCTTATTTATTATTTGGTGGCTGTCATANAAATTTGCGGTAGAAATTTTTGACGGGTCAGGACATTTTGGGATGTAGCAAGGCGAGGTTCTAGATGTCCTTTTTTAACAAGGGCTAGATCTTGCTATTGAAGAAAAGAGACCAGATGTTATTGGAGAAGAAAATTGGAGAATTATCAATCGTGTTGCTTGCGGTACCATTCGATCCTACCTTGCTAGAGAGCAGAAATATCCATACACGAAGGAAACTTCTGCAAGTAAATTATGGAAAGCACTGGAGGATAAATTTTTGAAGAAAAACAGTCAAAATAAATTGTACATGAAGAAGAGACTGTTTCGCTTCACCTATGTTCCTGGTACCACGATGAATGAACATATCACCAATTTCAATAAGTTGATCACATATTTGCAAAATATGGATACAACTTTTGATGATGGTAACTTGGCCTTGATGTTGTTGGGGTCACTTGCTGATGAGTACGAGCACCTTGAAACTACTCTACTCCATGGAAATGACGAAATTTCTCTTAGATAAGTTTGTTCGGCTTTGTAAAGCTATGAACAAAGAAAAGGAGAAAAACAGAAGGGCGGAGAAGGAGAAGCACTGGTTGTGAGGGATCGTCCTCAAAATCAAACGAGGACAAAGAAAGGAATATCCAAGTCAAAATCTAGACCCAGCAAAGATGAATGTGCCTTTTGTCGAGAAAAGGGGCATTGGAAGAAAGACTG